AATAATAATAATAATAATAATAATAATAATAATAATAATAATAATAATAATACTAAAAAATGGTCGACAAAGAAACTTTGTACAGGCATAGTTGATTTAACTTACTGGTTGGAACTTGGAGAGGAAGGTGTGCAAGGTAAATCTCCCCTGTAAAACATTATTGTCTGAACTATTCAAGTGTATCATTACATGTAATATATACATAAGATATTATGCATAAATTTGTATTGTATAATACAAGAAGGGAGTTTCCCGAGTGCGTCCTGAAATGATGTTTTTTTAATGTTCCGAGTGCGTCCAAAATAAGGTATCACTTGAGTGCGTCCCAAGAAAAAAAGGTCATATTTTTTATATAAATAATCTAATGCGTCCCAGTTCATTTAGAGTTACTAGGTTAGGCTAGTTTTTAGAGTTACTAGGGTGAACCATGAGGAGTTGAACTGGCTTACACCCCAAAAATATTTTTGATTCTTATTTATAATTATATACTTTATTTAAATTTACACCCTCGAATTAGGACAAGTGTACTGATTATTTTTATAAGTTTTTTTTTTATTATTTAAGATAAATTTTATTTATTTATCTTCATAAATTATTATATAAGTTAAAATACAATTTTCCCATCGTTTCCAGTGTTCCACAACCAATAACCATAACTATAAAAGTAAAGTATTATAGTTGTATATTTGAACTAACATATTCGATCTTCGTCAAATCATTCAAACTTGTATCTTGAAAGGTTTATTTGATAATTTTATCTTAAATGGGATTTATAGCTGTGAATCGAGGACGTAATCGGGCTATGAAAAAGGTAAAAATTAAAAACGAGACGCTCTCAGGATATCCCCCACAAGAAGATGTATATGTAGAATATGTGTGAATGTCTATGCTATACCTATAAAAAGTATTTATAATTGTGTTTTTTGTGCTTGTGTGATTGTGCAAAAGTATAATACATACGTATAGTATAATAATATATGTGCTATTTTATAAAAAAATATTACTCGGTTACAGTGTACTAGAGGAAAAGCTAAATAAATATTTGTATATTTTTATTTATACGAGTGAACTTGGTGTTGTCCTATTTTTTTAAATACATTGCTATATTATAGAGTGTGGAATAACTTATTTTAATCAATATTGTTAAATTTTTTTTTATTCTATTAACAAAAAAGCGGACTATAAGCAAAGTAAAATTTATTTTTATTTTTTAATACAGAAAATAAAAAAAAATAACAATTTGATTAGATTTATTTTCCAAAAAAATTTAAAATAGTTAATTTGTTAAATTAATTTTTAAAGAAATTTCAATGATAAAAACGTTTATTTAAATCTAATATTTTATTTTTTTAATTTATTTGAAACGTAATAAATTTTTCAAAATATTTTTTTTTTTTTGTGGAATTTTTAATCATAATAAATCTTAAGTGATTTATTTTCTATATAACTTTAATAATATTTTTCATACATTTAACTTGTATTATTTTTCATTTTTATTTATCAGGTCTTTTGTTACACTTTATTCATATTATGAATATTTTACTGAGGTACACAGTGTAATATGACTAGAAGATGTTTTTATACACTCATAATTATTTTTACATTTCAAAAAGTAAATTAATACGATATGCATAATTAAATCGACCAGAGTTAATTATTTCACAAAAGTAAATTTTAGTTTTTTGCTAAACATTTATTAATTATAATTTTTTTTTGTTATGGTGTAATCTATATTTTATATTTTTATATGTCTTTAATGATTGGGAATATTAATATGCGTTATGTTCAAATTATTATAATGTGTTTTAAATAGTTTTGGTTATTGTTTAAAAAGTTATTCAATGTAGTACCTACATAGAGAATAATTCAATTTAAATTAATTGCATGGTAAGTTATATTTTGTTAAAATAATTGATTTGTAAAGAGGAAACAAGCCATTCAAGTGTTTGTTATCTAACACTCCAAATACAAGTTACAGAGTACAAACTAGTCATAAATTATAGTGATGCAAGTATTTTTATACCTATAAATGGAATGCAGATAACAATAATGATGTTTATAGTTGTATTGATTAGATGCTTGTCCAAATAGAAAAATATATAAAACGATCAGATTTCAGTAAATACTGAATATTGGAATATTTACAGACATCAAGTAATAAATTACTTGACCAAAGCAAACGTGGTATAGTAAACATATTATTATATAGTTCTCTAAACTGTGATAATATTATTTATCTATTCATACTTATGAATAGAGGTTGAGCTATGTAACGCCGCTGTAGCAGCTAGTAAATAATATATGTACAATATAACGTACACAGGTTAGTGTGGTGTTGGATTCAACGCCTACCCTTTTCCAATTTTCTAATACAGTTAATAATATTAATATTTAAAAATATATACTAGCCTAGTCCCTCTCTTATTCGCCCAAAAATATTCTTTTTTGTGTATGCATCATAAATTGGGTTTTAGTTACTGGATTTTTTTCTGTGTACCTGTGTTTATGCATAGATGTTAAAACGTATAGAGTAGTACCTACTTATAAATATTTATTAAACAGTATTATAAAGTATATAGGTTTTTGTATAAATAAGTACCTAAATTATATATATATTTGCTTACCTATAGGGTATGTCACTGAGATTAGATTGACTATGGGATTGCGAGACCTTAATAGAATTTATTGGAAGCTCGTGTGGTGAGCTAGTTAGGCTTCTGTCGCTGCCCCTTCGCTTTGCGCTACTACACGACGATGAGTGATTCGCTTGTAAAACAGACGACGATGACGTACCCTGTGTGTTCGAACATCCTGCAGTACTTCTTATGCGTTCTTTGCAATCAACCTTTTTGTTGGCAGCGCCGCCGACTAGCCCGAAAAATCTAAACGAAATAACACCAAAGTAGAATTACACCTGACAATATTTTATTTTCATAAAATTCGTTTAATATTCGATTATTATTTTCAATAGGCTTATATTATAAAAAATTATCCCACGGTAAAGTAACCAAACGCTTCTTGAAATCGATGCTTATCTTTTATGGAAATATGTATGTTTATCGAACATCAACAAATGAATACACCATAATATAATAGGCAGCTAATTTTAGGCGGCCATATTTAAAATCACGCCTACTACAGATTTTCCAGTACAGAACGACGGAGAGAATTGAATTATATTTAATGTATAGTTGTAAATACCTTCGTCTGGCCGAAGGCTGGACTCCATTAGCGAGCAGGTTTTTGTAATGCTCCGACCTTATGAATCTAGGATAACAGTCTTTTTTCAAGAGTAACGTATACACGTGTTCTGCAGCACCATCGAACGTAAATCTCGACGGGTTTTTCATTTCTTTATGCGTTCTTTCCATCGTTTTGCCGTCTATATTGATTTCACATGGAGCACCGGGTGCTAGAAATTCACTGAAAACATACGATACTGATATAGCAAATATGGGGATGATGTGCATATTGTACTATGCGCAAGAATGATTATAAAATATTTTTGTACAATATTATTCAAATACGTTTAATGGTATTGAATAATTTCATGTCTATTGGTATAGGTTTATTTTAATTGTATTTTAGGGCGGCTTTTATTTGGGTGAATAATGAATATATATCATTTGGGTGAATATGCGTTTTCCTTCCTATTTTTAGAGGTATAGGACTCCCAGTTAACTCTAACTGGTATAGTTAAAAATGTTTATATTATCATATAACTTATTATATTAACTAAATTTTTTTATTAGTATGGTATCTCATACCCATTTGTTTCTACAATCTATTATAGTTAATTTTCCGGTTTGATATTCTTCCCATGATTGCAATGTATATTTGTTAATTAGTTTTGACACTTTAAAATAGTTATCACTTATCATCAATCAGCCGAAACGATGTAATAATAATACTTAGTTGTAGTAAATGTATGAAAATGATTGTATAGGTAGGTATTTTACTTCCCTATTAGCTATTATTCATTAATTTATAAATTTGCCTAAACGATCGGTTAATTTCTCGCCCAAATAATGTATGCTTTACTCAAGTAAATTTTAGGTTATTCGCCTAAATGAATAACGTTCGTATTTTAAATATTTTTGTTGTTATTATTTCAATATTTTGTATTAAATATTGAGTACCTAACAATTTCAATTTGTATTTTCCGTCGTATATTTTATTTTATTAGTAATTCAAATTTACTATTGAACATGTTAAAATGTGTTAATGTGTTACAATGACGATAGAATGATATAACATTTAAATTCATAGACCATATTAGTTATTGTTAGTGAAAATTTCGAATAAATAAATAGGTATATTACTAAAGTGTATTACTAAAGTGGTTTATTACAAAATAATAATATGATATATACCTACTTACTATATTATACAAATTGAATACATTTATATACATGGAAATATTTCTTTAAAACTGTACCTGATAGATACAGAATAACCAAAATATCATATTTAAGTATAAAATCGTCAAATTTATATTAAATTATTAACATGTATTTAAAATCGAAGCTTAAATGCTTTTAATAAATAGTAATAAATAATAATCATTGTTTTAATAATTGTAGTACAAAACATTTTTCCTTTGAAAACTTACTCATATATTTCTTTGACTTTCTGCAGGATTTGTGACTGACAACTTCGTTTCAAATCGTTGACTGCTAACCAAAATCTAATGTTTTCGTGGCTATATTCCTTCCGGAGGTAATTTGTAAACTCGTAGAGACCTGTTTTAATACGAAAAATAACGTATTTAACTGGAGCGACGTATTCCGGTGGTTAAATATTTTCCGATTTCTACAAGGTATGTATCTCATTATGATTAACACAATCAATAGTATAAGTTAAATTATCACGTAGAACGATTATACTCGTATCTTGCCGTTTGAGAAAATGCGCATACCTCTGTAAGCTCTTACATAATAATAGTAATAACTAATAATAACGATAACCATTTACCTGTTGCATCGGACACTAAATCTTCCATTGATAGAGCCCAACGTTTTATGCGCTTTTCAGTTATAGCTTCCACCCTGAAACAAATATATGTCACGATATATTAAAATTGCAAGCGTTCGTGTGAATTTTGAGAATTTATTATTGGTTTTTGCAATGACGTTATATAAATTATAATTTACGGTTCTTTAACTCACATTGGACAATTGAACGTCCAGAATGTCGGGTCATCCGTCACCCAAGGGTTCGATGGCTGAGCACCTGTGAGTAATGGATCGTATTCATGATACGTCTCGCCGAATGAAACTAGACCATCTAAAGCTACTGACGTTTTAACTCTTGTCCTCCCTATACAATTTCTTAACAATTCGACCTAAAAAAAATATTGACAGTCATTATAGAATTTTATAGTAAAAAGTTTGCAGTTAGTTTAACTTTTTGACGTTTTTTGATTATAACTTACGTTATTTTTCGTAGTTTATCGGTATTAGATTGATTATACTTAGTCGAATAGTTTAAAGAAACGGGGCTTTACAGGATCTTGTTAAGAGTATTTATTATTCATACATAGCAGAAATTTGTATCGTTTGTGTCAAAAATGAATTGTAAAGATTCTTAAACGTAGTATATTTTACTATTATTAGTTATAATTTAATATATATCAGTTAAAGTAGATATACATTTATACAATTTTAACTTTATTATTTGTTTGTTTGTCTATATCATGTCACACAATATTGATTTTAAATGGACAGGTACGGAATAGTTTATTATAAATTATAAGAATATAATAATTACTGTGCACTATTTGATAAATAATATAATTATATTTTATTTACTTCTCTCCGGAGATCTTCAGAACTTCTTTTTTTTTTGGTTGAAAAACTGCCACCAATCTTTATCGGTATTTGTTCCATAACACTAACACATCCTGGAGGAGGTCGATGTACTCTCCAAAATGCCCTTTCTTGACTATCAGTCACTATTTTTTCCCCTTTTTTCCTATCTTTACTCAACCGCACCTAAAATAATCGATTCATGTACAGTAGACATTTTGTCATCAAGATTAATTACTTTAAATAGATAAAAACTCTTCAATTTTTACTTGTTCTTCAGCTTGCATTGTGATAAATTCCCATTTGTTTTGTAGATTTTTTTTCAGACTGTTCAATGAGTCCTGAATTCGTAAAAAATAAAATAGCTATTTAATTGAAATGAAATTAAAGTCTCAATATTTTTTATTTCATGTAAATAAGGATTATTTTTATTAATTTTTCGGATTATTTTTTACACAACTCACTATGCTTAAAAATTTGAATCTCGATAAATTTTTAAAGTTTATTAACATCTTTGTTTTGATAACTAATAGTTAGGCCATTCCAATACTTACCATTTCATAGTCTTCCAGGGCATGTCGTTGTTTGTTTCTCAGCAGTCTCTTTGATAGGTATATCGCATATTCTACGTTATCAGGATTCTTTTGTGAACATGGCCAATAATAAGGAATCTAAAAAAATATATTGTGGTTTCAGTTATTTTTTGCCTCCTATTATTAATATTGCATGTTGGCTCAATATTAATTATACATAAGCTATTGTTTATCTTACTTGGAATCTGTACAGAGAACTGTCATCTTTTAGAGTAAGAGTTTTTGAGTCGTTTACTGGAAAGAAGTATCCGTATTGACATAACATATTGGCTATATGGACCGCTTCTGTAATAAAAACATATATTTTCTTTTATTATATATTTTTGTAATATTTTACTAACATGTCAAGAAGTCATCTTCAGGATTTCAAAACATTTAAAGTATAATTTATGACGTAGATAACTTGTTCAAAGTTGTACTTCGATGAAAATCTAACTTACTAAAATGTTAAATAATATATTACTATAGGACAATATTTGAAAAGGGGTCATATTTTATATGAAGTAGTATTCAAAACGTTATTCAAACTTAATTCCACGAAAAAATATTGACTACCTACTAGTTTTTTTTCCTATACAAAAAACTGTCTTACGTCATTATACATCGATCGTCATCATATACTGTGAAAAGTTAACAAATCAATAAAAAAAATGTATACAAATTTATTTAGAGATCACTAATCAATTTAAAAACGTATTTTATTACGGTATCGATTAATAATTTAAATGAATGTGAGTGTATATAATAATTTGATTTTTGTGTATACTTTGAATTATACCAGTGTACTGTGTACGTTTTAAAATTAAAACAAATGTATACGTACCTAACTATTTACATAAGCTCTTATCTCGGCAGAAATGGTGAATTAATTTTTCTCTTTTGATTACTTAGTTATAATTAAAATAATATTTATATTTTGCTTATTATTATAAAAGAACAAAATGGAAAAAAACTATATTAAAATTGTTAGTGAAATGGATAATTCATTATTTAAAATACGTGCATTTACTTACATATTTTAGAATACTTCAAGCGGAGAGATGGTTTAATATAAAGCTGTTTTGTGTCCTACCTTGTTCATATACGATACACAGTATTATAAATTTAACGCAAATCTTTACTGCATATTGCATTTATTTTTAGAATATAATTATTTTATGGATATACCTATAACTTAAACATACGCGCGAGTGACCGTAGCCGTTTATACAAATTATATAAAAATCGCTGACTGAATTGTTTTTTTTCTTTTGTATTAGAAAAATAAAAAATGTCCCAGTAATGGCGATACAAAAATAATAAAATGGTAGGGGGAAAATATTAATTAAAACGTTATTTTTTTGTCATATTTTTAGTATAATATATATTTAACAATTATATTTGTTCTGTGCTTTTAAACGATTTACTTAACTTAATACATTATTGTTTTGACTGTAGGAACTTAAATGAAAAAATATAGGTACCTACTTGTTATATCATTTTAATTTTATGAAGGTAAATAGATCGTAAATAAAAACTTATTTTTTCTATGAAAACAGTTATGCTCAAAACGTTTATTCAATAACATTAACTTAATGATTTCCAGAAATCCTAATGATCAATAGCCTTTCAAAATGTTCCGGAAAATAATTAAAAAATTTTAAAAACCTTATTAAGTCGAATTTCAAAAATTCAAAATTAACGGCCTATAATATAATATTCGTAATGTAGCGTTCTAATTTATATCGGCGAAGGTTTATATAAATTATAAGTATACGTACGAAGTGTATAATACATTCTGTGAAATCAATATAATTGTAACGTTATTCAAAATTTATTTTTAAAAGAAAAATCTTCATATTTTTTTTATCGACGTCACGATATCTCCACCAATTGTATGTATATATTTTAGTAAACAAAATAATATCATTGAATTTGACATTTTTATTTTTATGTTTAGTGTTTATATCGTTAGACGTTAATTATATATGTTTTATTTTAAAAATCCATTTATCATTTATGGTTATTTATTAGACGATTATATAATATAATGTATGTATATTTTTTCATATAATTAACTTCGATTCGCAGTCTAAAATTTATAACGATATAATATCTTCCTATATTGCCGGTGTAGGCATCAGTATAGTAACCAATAATATTGTTTGGGTATGTATTATACGCATTAGTCAAAGTCGGTGTATAGAAATGAAACTTGCCGCCATAAAAGTAATCTTCTTCAATATAACATTCCTGAAAACGACAAACAGGGATAATAGTGCTATAGGGTTGTTTATTGCTCGGCGTTCTGTGTCAGTATTATATAGACAATATTGATACGATATTGTATTTGAGCACCGCGACGTTACATAATTCAACTTTCACAGACTTATATAGCCATATAAGCGATAAAATGTTCTCGATAGAGACTATAACGCATTAAATAGATTTACGGAAAATAAAAACCTATCACATATTTTCCTTAGGTTTGCAGGATACGCCCATATGAAAAAAAAAACAGAGTTAGAAAGGTTTGCTTACCGTTTAATTACGTATACGATAAAGTTAAATATTACAATTATGTGAAGTTAGTGGCCAGTTATAAAATGTTATAAAATAGATACAATAGAAGTATGTAGAATATTCTTCAAACTCCCGTTTTATTGATACCACACACACTTTACGTAAAATACTACCTAGTGGCTAGTATGTTATGAAGAGATATGTAAGTGGGGATATTACGGCGTGTTTAATATATATTATAGACATTTATAGAAATGTTTATTAAATCAGAGTACTAGAAATAATAATGTAAAAGCTGTGTGCTATACGATAAGCGACCAATTTTATTTTACATATCTCTGGACTCTGAACATAACATTTGAATACATAATATACGAACGTATATAATGTATTATGATGATGTATATTATTATTATCTGTTTAAACTATTTTACTATACTTTTTCCATTTTTATTTTCAACTCGTAAAACTCGCATAATAAAGTACATTACTTTCAGATTTCCATTTAAATGCAGCGTTGATGCATAATATATTTCAAAAAAAAAAAAAAAAAAAATGTTTTGTTTATATTTTCGGATTTATTGTACGAAAATTCATTTTTATTTTCACAAATACTGTATAGATAAATAGTATAATAGTATATACACTAAAATTAGAACGTATACCTTAAGTCCAAGAGTAAATAATATAGGAAGATTGCATTTATTTGAAATTGTTTTGTGAAGTGATTGCGATTTTAAAATGTTATTAAAGTTTTATTTTGTCTACTCTGTGTTAGTGTTTACAGTCTAGTATTGAAGAATAAACCATTGTATTAAACTACATTTATGTTTTTGTTTAGTAAAAAAGAATTGACGTTCAATTATTCGCCAAAATACTGTTAGTAGGTGCTTACTATTTTGTAAATAATGATATATTATTGAAATATTTATTAATTAATCAAAATTTTTTATTATTATCAATAAAAAAGTGTTTAGAAAAAGGGTCAATTTAGTGTAAAAGGTTTTCTTTTTAAAAACTAACTTGAAAAAAAAATAGGTTAATTTTTTATTTTGGTATGAAAGAAGTCGCATAATTCATTCTCATAAATACTAAATGCAAATTCAAATATAATTAATTGACTGAATTTAATATTTTAGTTTTATTCTAAAAATATGATACTAGAATTTCAACCTTTTTATTAGGTATCAATATTAAATTGTCTAAAACTAAGAAGTTGTCCTCCAATCAATATAATTAAATTATTTATTTAATCAATTAAATTTCAATTTGCATAAAGTTAACAATACTTGTCATTACATTGCATTTTGTTATTAAAACATAATAAGAAATAAATTCTTGTTCAACACTTCGCGGGTTAATTAATAGTGAATCCAATAAATAATGGTGAATCAAATTTAACTTCACAAATAAATTAATTTCTATAATTTATTTATGGAAATTTTATTTATTCATGAATAAATAAAAAAAAAGTTTAAATAAAAATATTCATGTATTAGTTTAAGTTATTAAACACTAATTAAACTTTATGAAAATATCAATAATTGATTGGTTTGATTTACTTTGTGTTTTTCATTTTTGGCTCTATATTTTTTGTTATAGTCAAAGATGTGTACACTTTTTGTTATTACATACCTATTAAACTTTATATAGTTGTGGTATTTAGATGTATTTTTAATTTTTATAGAAACTATTTTATTGAAATCATTTTAATAATTCAAACTTACCAGTTTCGTCGACAGTTAAACGGTCCATTAGCCATTCAATTATGTTATAACCTGAAACAGTGTAATAAAGATTTATGATTGGGTATTGTGTCAAATAAATTATTTACATAAACTATTCATTTAAATTAATTTACTATCAAATTTTATAATATTAAATTTGATCATAATGTAGTTTTTCAACTCATAAGGCATGGTAAAATGTGTTTAAAATATTTTGGCTGATGCTGAAAAATATATATTTAAAATTTTATTGTGTGTCAACACTATTCTTAATTAATGTATTTTTATAAAAAGAAAATTTATTCTTTAAATTTTTAGACAAGTTTTTGCTAAGGTAACAAAGATTTTTTTACAAATGTTTATAATCCTTGTTATAGGTTCAAAAAAAAAAAAAAAATACAATAATTATACAATTTAATAAAATAAACAAGAAATTGTGAGTGTTATTTATTTTTATATAGTTTTATTATACCGACATAAACTTTTTTTGAAGATTGAAGATATTTAAAATTAATTATTTTTCGCATATATTTTAATAAGGAAAACTGAAACTTAATAGGTATTATTCGCGTTTTATGTCCTACAACTAAATTTAAAATTAGTTTCAAAAATAGGTATATGTTTTATTACGTGAAATTATTTTTTTATAGTAGGCTTTTAATTGAAAGTTTAAATTAATGTAGGAATATAATAATAATAATAATATATTTCAATATATGATATGTATGTCGATTTCTAAATTTTTTATAGCTCATATGTTTTCTTGAAGGTACATATTATTATTAAACTTGTTACTTATTACTTACTTCTTATTTATTTTAAAATCTAAATTCATGTCTGTATATAATCATCAAGTAAGGTTCTTGCCAATCTCAAGATTTAATGAGTTTTCGTTTTAATTTAAAATATATCATATTAAATTTTTAATTATAATCGAGAAGACAAGAATAAAAATTGATTATTAAATTATCCTGTTATGTATTATAAATTATGATAATATGATACATTATATTCGTACATTTTTTATTTATTTATTTTTTTTTTAATCAGAGTAAAGCAATAAATGTATTGGCTTTACAATTATGTGTGTTTATTTATTGTGTCAGTTATCAGTAGAAATTATGTAATCTTCAATATTAAGGGTGGTTTTCAGACGTAGATATGTAATTAGTTTGTGATAGTGGGAGAGCGATAGCATCAAAATATCAATATAGATTATAGTTATAGTTAAATATTATGTTATAATAATTTTTACTAGCTTGCCCCCCGTGTATTCACGCTTGGTGGTTTCTGGTAAAAAATTTGATTTAGTATTAACATTATGCGATAAAAAATATTCCTGGTACTTTTTAAAATAATTGGTAAAAACAAAATTAGGTATACTTAAAGGGAAATATTTATGTATAACTAGTTAAATAATAATACAGAGATTTAAAATTTTCAAAATATTTTGCATTTTTTGTAATATTTATAGATATTATTCTAATATTAACAAATATGAATATTTAAACGTAAAATTATTATTTCTCTTGGATAAATTTTAGTTATTATGTTGTAATAAAAAAATATTAATTGCAGGGATTCGAATATTTTTGAAATTTATGTGTATTATATTATTATCTATAATGATATTTAAAAAAAATATTAAGACCAGTTTTAAGCTAATTACTTTATAGACTTATTCATACCGTTCAATGGTATGTGATGTTGACTTATAAATTACACAAGAGTTAATTTAAATTATAATATATTGTGTAATATTATATGATAATATACGAATATGCAATGTTTTTGGCAAAAATTAGTTTAACTTACTCTATTATTAATAGAAAAATAAATTACTAATAGTAATTTAAATAATTAATAAATGTCCTTAGAAATAGAGAATGACATACATAGTATTTACTTAGAATCATTTTTTGTAAGAAATGACTTATCATTGAATTTAAATTATAGTATTTAATCTATTCAATGACGAGTTACACTTAAAACCATACAGTAGAGCAGTTTTCCTGGATTTTAAAATTTATTCTCGTACTTTTATTTTACAGCTGTCATTAGTATTTGAATATAAACTACGTACTTATATGATTTATACTATTTTATTTACATGCGTGTTTCTACAACTTATATACAATATAGAATATGAATATTTCAAAAATTCGAATTTCATACATGGTATTATAATATTGTATATTTTGTGTGTACCTATTGTAGATTTAAAATTTGCAATTAACCTTATAATATTTAAATAGTAATATAGTATATGGGTTGTGTGATCTTTATGAAAAACGTATTATATTGAGGGACTTAAATGTGTCCCTTGTAACCTATATATATTAAAGTCGTAAATTGAACTTTTGTTGTTTGCTATGTTATTCGTAATGATTTTAATATGATTTATATAAAAGCAATCAGATCTATTTTCATAACTATCTAAACATTATTCCATACAACCAAACACATATGATTTTTAATTTAATTTTATCATTTTTTATTTAACTCATTTAATTTGATATTAAAGTATTTTATCGTTTTTATATTATTTACAAATCTTAGTTTTAAATGTAATAAAATTTGCATTGAAAACGTGTAAAGATTTAGACTAGGTGAAACAATGCTTAGTTTAGATTGGTAAGCATTATATTGTATTTTTGTAGTTTGTATAAAGTTTTTTCTTTTTTCATGAAGTTTTTCTTTTATAAAAGCTCGTTAGATACTCGTAGACATATAAAGTCAATATACGTTCAATTAAGGTGTAGCCATTTCTTTCTTCTCACGCTACTTTCAATCCCGAAGTAAAAGTTTCAGCGTGTTAAAGTGGTTCTTCCGGCCGGTAAAATTTGTGCTTAGGGAATTTGTTTCAAAACGAAGGGTTGCCAACTGATATTGATTTTCCTAGAGTGGCTTAACATAAAGAAGAAATAAAATAACAATAATTTACAACACATTTCTTCTTATTGTCTACTCAAAGATTAATTTCATCCGATTTCTCGTTTTCTTTAGTTATATTAACAGTAACCATTAATAACTGACGTTACCAAATTATCAATTGCATATCTTACAGTTGCACATTATTTTGATTTGATCGATTATTATTTATTTGTAAAATATTATTTAAAACCGTCAAATTTTGCAATTCAGTAAAATTAATTAAAAAAAAAAAAAAAACTATTAATAACATTATTACAAATCAAGAAACTTGAGCTGCTGTTTAGTAAATGTCGAGTGTATTTCGTCATTGAGTAGGTTACTATAGTGAGTAAGTTAAATTTGAATTTAAAGATAAACCATTGCATAAGAAAAAAAGTTTTGAAAAGTTCAATTTATATTTTAAGATTATTTTATTATATTTTATATTACTATCAGTAATTTATTATTTTATTGGTAATACCTAAAATTTACCATTGACCTAACTTTCTTTTTACCAAAAACAAACCGCATATTATAATGCTGTAAGTTTTAAATAAATTTAAAATGTTGTTAATACTTTTAACAATAAAATAATTCGCACAAAAAAATGGTTCAGCATATAGATTTCCATTTTTCTTTAATTTGTTTTGTCTTTTTTTTTTGATTTTTTTTTTAAGCTATAAGAATTTTGACTTTCGACTTCTCAGAAGTAATAACTAGTTCTGATTTGCTATCAAAAACTATCTTCGTTGAAGATCGAAGCATATTTTTCTATTATAAAACGTGTATATACTCAGCACATTATTGTAAAACCAATATATTCATTATTTGGCTCAGATTCTTACTTTTTAATTGTTTGCATAAAATATTTTAAATTACTACTATTATATCAACCGAATCAGTTTTGTTTTTTATGGTAGTAGTTATTAAATGATTTATTAATATTTAATATTTCAAAAATTTGTATATTTTTAATTAAAACATTTAATTTGTTTTAAAAAGTTTATGGGTCGAATTTAGGTTAATTTTAATGACTTAAAATTTGTTGAACCTTTACCAAGTTCTAATTACATTTCACCTAGAATCAGTATACTTAATATATCATATCACTTTGTTAAAAAATAAATAAATTGAATTTCACGATAAGCATTGATTAAATATGCTATAAGTAAATTTTTATATAGATGTATGATGTATATCATTTTTACATATACCAACAATTTAAAAAATGTTCAACATTGTTTCAAGAATTTAAAAAACTTAATTATTTAAGTATTCATTTCCGATGCCAATAACTCGATGAAAACATATTGTATTGTGTAAATGGTTTCTTTATTCGTTGAGTTTGAAATAATAAGATACAATCAATTTTATGTCTGCTTACGTTTTAACACTAACTTATATACATAATTTATTTCTCGTAAAATTATTCATAAATGGGCATATGGGTATATATAATATTATATACTATGTAGTATAATGACTAATGATGAATACTTAGTATATAGAGTACATAGACACGGGTATACCGCACTGATAAGACTCGTTATAAGGTTAACTTGTTTTAATTCATGTTAAACATCAATATTAATTTATAATAAAATTAAAATTATAATACGGATTATTAGCAGTATACTTATTTAAATTTTAACACAACAAATTTGATATATAAAGCCTCTTGAGTCTTATTTATAATTATTTATCATTATAATTCGTTTTTAATAACAATGTGACGTCTAATGCTTTTCTTTAATCTTTATTGCAGATGATAAAATTTAAATAGCTATAACGTTAATTAGTTTTTTTTTGTTTTTGTTATTTTTATTTATTTTATTAATAAAATAGCAAATTTGGAATTAAAAATTAATAGTGTTTAATCATTTTTATTATTATTAAGCTTTCTTTTTTGAGTTATTGCATTTATATGAATACGATATACATGTTTAAATAACAATTGAAAGAATACTACTTTCATATTAGTGTAGATATATTAAAAATTAAATAAGTGAATTTAAAATGTCGAAAATTTCACAGTTAAAGTAATAATTAATGAGTGGTTTTTTTTTACTAATAAAGGTTTCTTATAAAGAATATAAAGTAACTATAAGGTTCCTTCATTTTTTCTTAGAACCAATGAT